AGAGAGAGAGAGAGAGAGAGAGAGAGAGGGAGAGAGAGAGGAGATGAGAGAGAGAGAGAGAGAGATGAGAGAGAGAGAAGAGAGAGAGAGAGGAGAGAGAGAGAGAGAGAGAGAGAGAGAGAGAGAGAAGAGAGAGAGAGAGAAGAGAGAGAGAGAGAGAGAGAGAGAGAGAGAGAGAGAGAGAGAGGAGAGAGATGATTGAGAGACGAGAGACGAGAGGAAGAGAGAGAGAGAGAGAGAGAGATGAGAGAGTAGAGAGAGAGAGAGAGAGAGAGAGAGAGCGGTAGATATAGATACATAAGCATCAATGTTACCGAATAAATACGGCATACTTTAGGTAGCAACTGACCTTTAGTTTTCTTCTTTTCTTGTGCAGCGGGTGTTTCAAGATCTTCTTCTCCAAAACCCTAGGAAAAAAAATACCCATATAATTTATCCATATTACTTATATAACAAATAATAAGTTATATTCAACAAAACTTTTTTCTCTATTTAATATATACAGATATTTGTACGCATATATATTACCTCAAAATCTTCTTCATCGCTCGACCCAAAGATATCAGCAATTAGCTGGTCACCAGCATCTTCATTGTCACTGCCTGCTTTCTCGCTGTCCGCATCGCTGTCCAGGTCTTTATCGCTGGCTTCTCCGTCGTCCTTTTCACTGCCTAGATCCGCTCTTTCGCCCGCTTCATTATCGCTTTCTGCACCTTCCTTCACACTGTCCGCATCCTCTGCAGCACTCTGCACACTTTGATCCCGCTCGCCATCGTCACTGCGATAAAATCACCGACGATAAAATCACCGACGATAAAAATGTGAAAAAACTGATACCCAACAGATTACTGTAAAACTGCATACTGAGTCGGTAATTAAATAGAACCCTTTAATAAAACTTTATATTTAACAGTAGTATTGATCACGCATTGCGCATGTAATATAATAGAAAGAATTGCGATAAGAAGATAGAACTAACAGTGAGATAGAGCTAAACGTTTTTTTAAAAACACAACACACAGCGAACACATTTTTACAATAAATTCCACTGCAGGTGTTAAATATAAAATAAAATACTTACTCTACAATTGGACTTCCCACCGGACTTGCGTGGTCAGATTCACTATCAGCAGGGCTAGCTGGACCAGTATCCACAACTGGTGCTGGAACTGCAGGAGTGTCAGCACCAGAATCTGCAGGGCTTGCCGGACCAGATCCTGCAGGGCTAGCTGGACCAGACTCTACTGGGTTAGCTGGACCAGACCCAGCAGGGCTAGCTGGGCCAGACCCTACAGGGCTAGCTGGACCAGACCCTACAGGGCTAGCTGGACCAGACCCAGCAGGGCTAGCCAGGCCAGAGCCTACAGGGCTAGCTGGACCAGATGCTGCAGGGCTAGCTGGACCAGACCCAGCAGGGCTAGCTGGACCAGACTCTACAGGGCTAGCTGGACCAGACCCAGCAGGACTAGCTGGACCAGACTCTACTGGGCTAGCTGGACCAGACCCAGCAGGGCTAGCTGGACCAGACTCTACAGGGCTAGCCGGGCCAGACCCAGCAGGACTAGCTGGACCAGACTCTACTGGGCTAGCTGGACCAGACCCAGCAGGGCTAGCCGGGCCAGACCCAGCAGGACTAGCTGGACCAGACTCTACTGGGCTAGCTAGACCAGACCCTGCAGGACTGTCCGGACCAGACCCCATAGGGCTTTCCGGGGTGGAGTACGCTGGGCTCCCAGACCCAGTGGGGCTTGCTGGACCCGAGTCTGCAGGGCTTGCTGGACCAGACCCTGCGGGGCTGTATTGCCCTGATCCTATCGGACTGGCAGGCCCAAAGTCATCAGCATTCTCCACAGGCGATTCACCACCACTGCCCACTGGACTGCTTGGGCTTCTTATCAGGGAATCGAATCCGGATGGGCTGGCTGGTGCGCTGTTCACCTCCATGGGATTCGCCGGGTTGTATTCTCCCTCGTTGTTGCCAACGTCGCGCATGGCCGATTCGTCGTCGCTGCTCTCATTCCGATCTTTGTTCATCACAATGCTCATCCTTTCCGAATCGGAACCAGATTCCGCTGAGTTCATGTCCTCATCTAGAGACCAACGGTAATGCATTAAATGCGATGCACCTTAAATGTAATTTCTAAACTCATTGGTTTTTGTAAAGAAATGAAGTCTTCTAATAGAATTTTGGAACAATCAAGAGTTGCAAAGTTACGATGTTAAATAATTTAAATTAACAGTGCCAAGTTAAGTCGATGCTGACAGTTAAGGCCCCCGTACACTAGAGTAATATAGCTAAGGAATCGGTCTCACAAGCAATATGGCTTGCGAGTCGTGATCCCCGCACACTAGAGCAATATAGCTAATCAATCGGACTCGCTACTCTGCATTCTGTGACCTCTCGATTCCAATAGGGGCGTTCAGTGTGACGTCACTCCAGGTCACGTGTGTAAACATAGCTCTGCTGGTTGGCAAAAGCGTTCGCCGGTGGCTATTTTATGTTGTTGTTGTGCATGTTGTATTGGTAAAAAACAGTCAGTTACTGCGTTGTAATAGGATGTAGTGATCGACATCGAACGGGAAAAGGTGCTTCATTTCATAGAATACCCAGTAAATCAAAATATCCAGTGAAACACAAGCTAGTAATAGTATGAATGAGAGCAATACCAAGCAAAGGGAAAACGTTGTGGCCGAGAATCACCACCGTGTTTGTGGTCGTCATTTCATCCGCACCATAATTAAAGCCGCACAATGCGCATCCAAACGCTAATTTCTCCAGTACCAAAAAGAGTCCCTGAAATATTTTTTAAATGCTTTAATTTAGGAAATAAGTTGAAATTAAGATGTAGGAAAATTTAGGATTGGGCTTGATTTTCAGGAAACAAAGTCGCTTAGTTCCTTGAAAATTTACACCGCACCGTGTCCGTGTTTACTAGTATATGTGTAAATGTATGTACTTATGTTAAATCTGGAAATTAAAAAAAAAGAAAAAAAGTTCGAGTTGTACTCGGTTGTCCGATTTTCTACTCGATTAATCAACTCGGCAGCCCAAACGAGTAATGATCGACGAACTCAATTAATCGGAACACCACTAATAAACAGAGCTAAAGCTGACCGAAGTTTGCCGATCGCTATGCACATTGGGAAAGCCAGCATCACAGGTCACCAGAAATGGCACTCGAAATATTGCCGCTCGTCGCTTCGAAATTTTGTAACAGGTTATATTAGTTTAATACAGACTACAGAGTATTCACTATTGTGATACATAGTAAATCCCAGGATAGCAGAGAAAGGTTCATGTTTAGAATAAACCCAGTTTCGAAGTTCTAGTCTCGAAAAACGCACCATAAAACCGCCCTGAGTGAATCACTCAGGGGCTCCTCCAAAGAAAAGAATAGGCTCGCGTTGTAACCCTACTCTTGTGTTGGGTTACATTATTGTATCTAACTAGAGTCTAGAGCAATATTGCTAAGCTACCGTAAAAATATCAAACATGTGCCACACACTACAGCAATATTCCTCGCAAGTCCGATTGCTTAGCTATATTGCTCTAGTGTGCGGGGGACTAATAGGTAGTTCACCGAACTAGTGCTCATAGCGTCTATGTCCCCCAGGGTACTGCCGGAACGTACCCTGGGTACGGTCCGGTATACCAGAACGTGCCCTGGTAACTATTTGATATGGTTAGGGTTAGAGTTAGGGTCAGGGTCAGGGTTAGGGTTAGGGTTAGGGAGTAGGCGAATCCCTAGACTCGTTAGTGGAGTAGGCGAGGTACCCGGCAAGGTACGTTCCAGCAGTACCCTGGGGGACATTCTCAGCCGAACTAGTTGTTACTGAAATATATTCATGCATTGATAGATTCGGAATAACGGACTAGTGTTAACTTCGAACCCTCACTCTAAGCATAAGTAATACTAGTAGATACAATAATGTAACCCAACAAGAGTAAGAACCCTGTACTCTTGTTGCGTTACATTATTGTATCTAAGATAATGCCTGTAAGACTAAGGGCTCAAAGATAGAGATGATGTCCAGTAATAAAAGACGATGTTTTCCTCCAATAGATGGCGCCACTACGCTATATACACTATGTGCTTATATAGCGACTGAGCTATATATATATAGATATATATAAATATATATATTATATATATATATATGTGTATATATATAGATATATATATGTATATATCAGGAGTACATAATAGGGAAGGAGTGTAACTTCAATAAACAAGGGAAATTCGTCATTCACTAGCCTTAGAATACCTACGATTTACTATGCGTAACTCAACCAACTTGAGCTCAAATCGTACACAGTACATTCACCTAGCATCGTGCGAAATCGTTTCCTCATATACACTCGCGATCCGGAGATACAGACTAAAACGTACGACACGATTATCCATTCTGTTGCCATCAATCCAAACGTATTGTCCGCCTGACTTGAAACAAAAGGCAGCTACTAACGCTCGCTGGGAGATTGGACATCGACGCAACACTCGGCGAGATAACTTTTGACCCGGCATACAGCTACATACCGGCATACCGGCATACAGCTGGTATGCCCCCACGCACGCACGCCCACCGCAATCAGCAGCAGCTCCAGCTCCAATCTCCCAGCGAGCCACACCGCATCGCCGAGCGTTAGTAGCTGCCTTTTGTTTCAAGTCAGGTGGACAATACGTTCGGATTGATGGCAACAGAACGGATAATCGTGTCGTACGTTTTAGTCTGTATTTTGTACGATGCTAGGCAAATGTACTGTGTACGATTTGAGCTCAGGTTGGTTGAGTTACGCGTAGTAAATCGTAGGTATTCCAAGGCTAGTAAATGACGAATTTCCCTTCTTTATTGAAGTCACACTCCTTCCCTATTATCTACTCCTGGTATATATGTATCTATACATATAAAAAGACATAATACAGTGCTCGAAATAAGCGTTGTGCGGTTGTCCGAGACAACCAGAATTTGCACCGGACAATCTAACCAGTCTGAGACATTGTCCGGTGGACAACCAAGAAAAATGTGACGAAAAACGCACTTTGTTTATGTTTTTCTCAGGGGTTCTCCAAGAGCACTTATAGCCTGGCGGCCTGCCATTAATCTATGGTGTGGGAAAGCGACGCATATCATCTGCTATTTCCAACACTGTATGTCAGGTTTTCTGATTTATGAGAGGTGAACTCGATTTGGAACCAGCAAACCAGCAAGCTCA